ATCCAGGTAGAATGTGTAGAATAATCCTGATGCGTGCTCAATAATCCTTCGTGTGATTCAAACCAGTCTGCTGTGGCGTTCCCACAAACTGACTTCATGCAGAATGGAGGACCATCGCTCTGAAACAGCTGATCATCAGTGCAGAACAGTGATGAAGTCGTTCAGATGAAAGACGAAATGTTTCTTTCAAAATTAATCTGTCCAGATGAACTGAAGTGAACCAACTTTTTTTTTTTAGCTAATTTGTAGATTTTATTCGGCGTTCTGATCCTTTCAGTGCTACCAAGACCACTTTAAGCTCATGTTGACCAGTAAAACTCATTTAGGATTAATTTATTAGTAATAACTGATGACGTCGGGCGTCCTGAACAGAATCCAACATTCAGAGCACGACTGTGAACTTTGACCTTTGTGTGTTCTGCAGAAAAGAACCTGTTCTCCAGAGGGATGTTCGGCCGTTCCAGGGCAGAAGAACAGGATGGAGGGGATTCAGGTACGGAAGGCTCTTACCGATGGATCAGTGGTTGGCACGGATGCCTCACAGCAAGAAGGTCCTGGGTTCAGTCCCCAGTTTGGACCAGGGGTCTTTCTGGGTGGAGTGTGCGTGTTCTTCTCCAGGTTCTTCCCACAGTCTAAAACCTGCATGTTGGGCTGCCTTCGGACCCGGCCCCCCGTTACTAAAGGATCTGTGATGTCACAGAGATAATTACATAATGACCTCTAATCTGTGGTTCAACATTCAGGAGAGGAGGCACAGTGGAGGTGGTCCAAACGGGAATTGAACCCTGTCTGCGCTGACTGAAATAATTCAGCTGCTTTCACACAGATTGAAAAAGACCTTCATATAAAATTTGTTTTCAGTCACTGAGCTTTGGTAAGTGACATTTCTGACAGTCGCTGCTGGTTCGTGCATCAAAATCACGACGACGGCAACATTTTTATACGTTTCTTTGTTTCCGTGCTAAAAGATTTGAGGAAAAAATGTAAATAATCCCCAAACAAGTTAAAAAAATTCAGTTTGTAGAAATGATGCTAACTCAACGATGGTGAAGAGACGGACGACGTGTCGGTCGTCCCTCGTTGTATCCACCTTGCACGTTTTTATTTGAAGCTCAGGACGTGTGTCGGCTGCAGAGCCGTATTTTTAAACAGACAGAAAATTATTTAACTACAATCAGCAACGCCACCCAGTTAGACTAGGATTAAGATTAGGTCCGTATCGCAGGGGTGAGCAGACGGTAGAGATTTACAATAATTTATTACAACCAGGAAAATTGCTGGAAGCAGTCCAAATGTTAAAAACCAGTCAATAAGAGCAGTCTGTAAAATCAATCAGTCTGAGGGGAAAGAAGCCGAGTCTTGGCTGAAAAGGGGCGTGGTCCCCTCGCACGGCGCTCCAGGCGTTCCCAAGTCTCGACCTCCAGCGATCTCCCGGCACTATCCAGAGTCCGGCGTCGCTCCACAGCCTCGACCTCGCTCGGTCCTTCCACAGCCTCGGTCCCTCCACAGCCTCGACCTCGGTCCCTCCACGGCCTCGGTCCCTC